ACCGCCGCCGCGACGACTCGCACCCGGCTCTCCGACGGCCGGACTCGCTTCGACCCCCTCCCACCGCCACCGCCGGAGCGGCCTTTACCTCTTCGCGGCCCTCCCTCCTCTTCTTCTTCCTCCTCTTCCACCTCCTCGTCGTCGTCATCGCCGTCATCTCCACCGCCCTCTTCGACCTCGTCGTCCCCGCCCTGCTGCGACCTTCGCTCCTCCTCCTCCTCAGACCCACCGCCGCTCTGCTCCTCTTTCGCATCCTCCATCTCCTCGTCTTGCTCCGCCGCCTGTCCGCCCTCGCCCCCCTGCTCCTCCTCTTCCTCCTCCTCCTCGCGCAGCTGCGTCGTAGAGGCACGCCGGCTGCTCCGCCTGCGCACCGACGGCCTCTCGCCCGCATCCTCGTCGTCCTCTGTCACGGCGGCCGACGAGCGCTTGCGTGGGTTGGCGGCCTTGCTCGCCCTCTTGCCCCGTCGGCCTGTTGTCGTCGACGCTTCCTGCTCGTCCTCGTCCTTGTCCTCATCCCCTTCCTCCTCGGCCTCGTCCTCGTCGTCCTCCTCTTCGTCCTGCTCCTCATCCTCGCCACCCTCCTCGTCGTCCTTCTCCTCTTCCTCTTCCTCCTCCTCCTCATCATCCTCCTCGGCCCGCTTGCGACGGCTGGAGCGGCCACGTCCGGACGCAGCGGCGACCGAGGAGCGCCTGCCGGCCCCGGCCTTGGCGCCCCTAGTCGCCTTGGTGATCTTGGCCGGAGCCGCCTTGGACCCGCGACGCCCTCCGCCGCGCCCCTTGCGAGTGGTGGCCTCGTCGTCTTCCTCTTCCGCCTCGTCGTCCTCGCCAGAGCCGGACTCTGCGTCCTCGCCTTCCCTACCGGACGAAGCGCCTTCCTCTTCGTCCTCTGCCTCCTCCTCGCGGTCCTCCTCCTCCTCCTCCTCGGCCTCCTCGTCGCCCTCATCGTCGGAGCTCTCGTCGCGCTGGCGCCGGCGCTTGCTGCCGCCGCGTTTCGATCGCGCCTTGGCCGACTGCTTGGCCGAGACCGACTCGACCTCGGACAGCTCCTCCTCGTCCGACGCCGTGTCCACGACCTTGGCCGCCGAGCCGCCCCTGCCCCGTTTGGTCTCGGCGGGCAGCTTGGCCTTGAGCACGCCGCCGGGCCCTTCCTCTTCTAGGCTGGCTGCCTTGCGGCGCGGCGCGATGAGCGGCTCGAACTCGTGCCACGGCATCAGGTCAAAGTCGCGCCTTGCCATGCCGTCCTTTGTACCGTCTGGCTCCTGGCCAAACGACCAGGGGTAGAACGAGGAGCTGCTCGACTTGGCGTCCTTGCGCCGCGCCGCCTCGTAGTCGGGCGCGCCCGGCCGCTGGTAGACGTAGCGCTCCTCGACCTCGGGCGGCCTCGACCTGGTGGCGCCACGGGCGTGCGCGTGCTGGGCGCGCCCCCCGCCGCGCTTGCGCTTCGAGGGCGTGGGTGGCTCGGACGATGCCGGGTCCTCGCTGTTCGAGTCATTGACGCTGCCGCTGCTCGTGCTGCCGTCGCCGTTTGACGTCTCAAAGATGGCGCTCTCCTCCTGTGGGGGCGCGGGGCGTAAGGGGGAGAGAAGGTCAGATCAGCGGGTCCGGCGTGCGGGGTGAGCATCTCCAGACTGGGCCACGCCTGTGACTTCCGCCCGCTCGCTGCACTCACGAGCTCGTCGAGGGCCTCCTGGTCAAAGAGCTCGGCGAGCGAGTTCCAGAGCATGCGGGTGTCGACGTTGCGGATGGCGAGGTTGTCGATCTCGGCCTGTACGAGGGCGATGTGCTCCTGGCGCTCCCTCTCGTCGCGCTCGTGGTCGTCGTCGGTGCGGTCGCCGTCGGCATTGGTGCTGGTGACGCTGACGGAGCGGCTGCGCGACGACTTGCGCCTCCCGCTGCTATTGGCCCTGCTGCCGCCGCCACTGCCGCCGGGCCCGTCGGGAGCGCCCGAGGATGTGGCGGCCGGCGAGGATCCCGAGATGAGCTGCTTGAGGCGGGACTGGAGCTTTGCGTGCTTGCGGTCGAGGGCGCGCTGGGTGTGGTGCAGCACGGGGAGGATATTGAAGTGGCGGTGCGGGCCAATGGGTCGGTGGAGCGAGATGGAACGCAGAAAGGCGATCTGCACGGTATCGTCGTCTGGGAGCGTCGCCGAGGGTGCTGTCGCCGACTTGGCGGGCGAGGACAGGCGTGACGATGCGCCGGAGGCCAGGGTCGATGCGGCCGCTGGGGCAGATGACGGCGAGGCACGGCTCGACATGCTCGGCGGGGCAGGCCAGGGCAGTGGTGTGTATTGTCCTGGCGGCGGTGGAAGGAGCTGTGGTCGGACCGGGTGGATGTAGGGTCAGCAGTCGATGAGATGCTGCCCTTGAGGGAGGTGCAGAGAAGGACTGTGGGTGATGGTGGTGAAGGTGAGAAGGAAATGTCCAACTCGGAATGGACCGACAGATGAGACGACGGCCGCTGCTGCTGCTGCAGTCGCTCCGGTCCGCCCTCAGTCCCTTGAAAACTCAAGTGGAGCGTGCAGCGGCACAAAGCAGCAGCAGCAGCAGCAGCAGCCCCGTGCGCTCTCAAAGGGCTCTGCACTCAGCCTGCCTGCCTCACTGGGGGAAAAGATCCCCTGCAAACAGCCGTTTCCGGTGGTTGCTGTCACACGGCAAACTCGGCTGTTTGCTGTGATTGCTGTCACACGGCAATCACATAAGTTTACCAGTGTTTGCAAAGGGTGCGCGCAAAATGTGTCTCTGTTTTTTTTGGCAGCAACTTAGTTTGGCAAGCCGGCTTGCCGAGGCAGCAGCGTGCCTGCAAACCTTGGCAAACCACTGCAAACCTGCAAGGCCTAGAAATGCTGACTTTTCCGTGCAGGGCCTGGCAAACACATCTGGCAAAGCACCATATTTGCTGTGCGGCGGCAACCCATGGCAAACCGGTTTGCCAGACCCCTTTTTCCCAAGTGCCTGTGTTTGACCAATGACAATCTTCAAGCAGCAACAGTGCAAAAACAAGACAATGCTGATGATGCAAGGCTTGCACCTGCCTGTACACAAGGCAGTGAATCCTCATCCTGCTCCTGCTCTTGCAACAAGCCACATGCACTGCAGAAGGACCTGTGTGTATCAGAGGGCCAGCATGCTGGTGTCTTACCCTGAGACTGCAGCTAGTGCCTTGCTTGATCAGCTTCAACCAGGCAAGCCAGCTCAGCAGGGTGTTTGATTGACTCTGTGCCCAGCAGAACAGTGTGGCCATCCACTATGTCAACAGCTGCCTCATCAAGCAGGTTGCATCAGCAGGCCCAGACCAGCCTCACAAAGTTGATTTTCAGGGTGTGGCAGGGAAAGACATGGGACATGTGGCCAGCCGAGATAGGCATGAGTGACGAGGACGTCTGGGCCTTTGATGTCCTCCACCCGTACTACCTCAGCTTTTGGCTTGGTGACGGCCGCCAAGACAGAACCACACCGGTGGTCTTTGTCGGCAACCATGAGGTGGAGGTTCTCGCAAAGATCAGGCAAATCTTCCCAGCCACCGCATCGCAGCGTCCTCCTCGCTTGCAGCGTCACCGCATCGCAGCATCGTCCTCCTTGCCCTTGCTTGCAGCATCACTGCATCGCAGTGTCACCGCATCGCAGCATTGTCAGCATCACCGCATCGCAGCGTCACCATGGACAAGCCGCAGAGGACGTCCATTGTCCTTGGGCGCTGCCAACAGCTCCGAGGCGCGCGCACTTTTTTTCCTTTTCCGATTTCCGAGTTTCTCCCTGTGTTTTAGCTAGCGCGCGCACGCCATCTCCCCTGCCAGCACACCACCATCTGATTCCAGCATCCCTTGCCTTTGGCTCGTTTTCAGCGCAACACCACGATTTTGTGCCTCAGGCCAGATGACTCATAGCTAGCAGCAGG